TGAAAAATTAAACACAGTTCCAGGTACTACAATAATAAATGTAATAAAAAGATGCTCATATTTTCAAACTAACCTGCTTCACTAGTTCTAGTGCTAGTAGTGGCTAATGGTCCAGCTCCTCCACTAGTAACTGCTGATATAGTGAAGGTATAGTTTGTGTATTCATTTAAAGACTCTACAGTGTAACTGGTTACGCTATATTCATCACTACTAGTATTGAATGTCACTGGTATAGTAACGTTATATGCTGAATATTGTAGAAAATAGTGTAATATTACTCCATTAGGAACAGAAGGTCTCCTCCATTCTAATGATACACTAGTAGCAGTTACATCAGTAACATTAAATCCTTCTGGAGGTCCAGCGGGTTCCTCTTCACTAGTTCTAGCAGAATCATTGTTGCTACGTGAACTCTCTCCTCCTCCAGTGCTAGCTGTAGCATAACAATCATAATTTGTAAAAGGATAGAGACCAGTTATATTAGCAGTAGTGCTGTCTGGATCAACAGTAGTTGGTGGTGCATTGAAAGATAACATTAGTTGCTGAGAATAAAATTGTAAAGATGACAAATTACAGTAGACGGTATAGTTAGCTAATACTCCATTAAGAGTTGATGGTTCCTCCCAACTAGCTTTAAGTGAGGACAATGATAGCTCTGTTAGTGTGAAATTCAAAGGAGGAGTAGGAGCTATGGAAACAATGCAAGCATAAATGGAATGCAAGGAATGCAATCAAGTAATCATTATACTAACCTCCTTCTGGTGTAGCAAACATATCAAGTTCCCTAGTAGTGCCAGAACCAAAAGAATTGAATGGAGTTATTCTTATAGTATATGTCACATTAAACTTAAACTCTGCAATAACTGATAGTTCTGTAGTGTTGATAGTTAAACATATCTTTCCCCTTATTGATAATGTGACTTCATATCTTAAAATATTCCCTGCTGGTCGCGAAGGAGGAGCCCATGATATATTTAATCTCATGTTATCTCTGTCAATATCCACATTTGTATCATTGACTTGACTGGACACTACAAAATAAAAAAATTAAAAATCATGGGCTATAGTACAGGGCATTTTAAATTGGCCTGTTTTTTTAAATGGTCATAACTTGAAAAATGTAAGTCAGAATCAGCTCAAACTTTCTGCATAGCATACAGACATCAATATGTATTAGAAAACGTAATAAAAATTGGGGGTGATTTCAGAGCCATTTTTTGGAAAAAAACCATGGGCGATTTAAATGGGCTATAGTACAGGGTATTTTTCTAATATCAGCCTATTTTTTAAAAAGTTCATAACTCGAAAAATTTAAATCGGAATCAGCTCAAAATTTCTACATAGCATAAGGACATCAATATGTATCAGAAAATGTAATAAAAATTGGGTGCTCAGAGACGAGGTTTGCTTACTTCCCTCCCCTGTATTGCCAGAATCACTAAGCCCTTCTCCCTCTTCTTCACCATACTGTGGAAACAGGGTCACATAGTAACTAGTAAACGGTAGCAAATCGTCTAATGTGTACAATATGTAATCAGTTGTCGTGGTCACATCATCTTCATCTATCATAATAGTTGAATTGTCACTGCGTGGGTTTGCCCCTGATAGTTCAGTGTAATTATAGGCAATGTAATACATATCAGGAGGGACAAGAGGATATCGTAACTGCCATGACAATGCCAACGAGGTACTATTGCCAGAATTTACAGTGAAATTGATAACGTCTGGAGCAAAACCTAAATAAAAATTCTTAATCAAAATGTCTATAATAAAAAACATACTTCCAGGGATTGTCACATTAGCTGAATAATTAAAACTGATATTAGATGACAGAAACACGATAATTCTAATAATGGAACCAGGAACAAACTCGTCCTCATCTGAAACGGAGAGAATGAAATAACCTCTATCAACATCGAAAGACGTAAGATTTTTCGGCTGATTTGATGAATTATGAAAGACAACACCATCATCAGGGGTTAAGTATTGAAAGTAATATGAATATGAGCAGTTGGTAATGTCTGTTGGGGTACAATCCAAACTAAATGAAACGTTTGCTTGATTAGTAGACCCATTTAATATAACATCGACACAATCTGGTGAAGGACAGTCATCTAGAATCATATCGCCATCAGCTGAACCATTACTAGAGCCTTCACAAGAAACTAGAAATAGAGAGAGAGAGAAAGGGGGAAAGAGAGGAGAGAAAAGAATGAAAAGGGACAAAGAAAGAAAAAGAGGCACGTAAAATACAAGGTTGCTATTATTGTATAATTCTTACAAGCTGGCTGCATACACTCTCCATTAGAAGTCTTAAAGCAGCATAAGCCTATTATAAAAAGGATAAACAAGTCAGAGCGGGTTAACAGTAAACAAAATAAGAGGAATTATAAACAAAATATGAGATATTGTAAATCATTACAAAAAGGTATCCACACAGTAATAACATTGGCAGACATTGAGTGCACACACACATAGACATAAACACACACATGCTCAAACAAAATGTCTAAGAGAGTTAGTGCCAATTAAGAAAATAGACAATATCCCCATTCCATGTCCAAATATAGCTCATACTAGTGATCACATGTCAGGTATAATGCTGGAGTGCTAACATATTTTGCTTATTCTCTCTGTATGGCTCAGTCTCTCTTGATAGATGTATCATAATAATAATAATTATACATTGTATTCTCAAGGGGAAACTCAATATTACGCATACAACCTCATAAATGTAATTAATACGTGTAATACATGTAGTCCTTCTCCCTGTCCAATAAAACCTCTCTCTACCTCTCCTTTCTTTCATGATCATCAACATAGCATAAAATATAGTACGACAGCCAATATTAATGGGCAAAATGCCTAAATTGTCTTCTGGCCCTTCATATAAGACATACTCAACACACACACACACACACACACACTCACTCAATTACAACACAGTACACTCCACACTCCACAAACATGTCTCAAGACACATAGTACTACTAGAGTGCATAGAATGAAGGACAATGTGCCCTGTTCATTTATCAATGGTGTCTTGTATGGGAGCAATCTTGGTTAATATGCGAACAACAATGATCAATTGCTAACATGAAATATGAGACAATGGCAGTACAACTGTAGTAAAACTATAGCTCCTATTCATAAAGAGTTGATAGATGTGAATGCATACGTTATGATGGGCTGCAATATAATTTATAAGCACCCAGTACTGTTATCAAGAGGGAATGTTTGTGTTACTAAAAGGAATAGTAGCTATAAAAGCAACACCCACCAATAATACTTGTATCAGCAATGATTATATAATACTAGAGGAGCATAGTAATGAGGTGTAAGAGGAGTATGAAATAATGAACTCTAATATTACATTTGATAGGAGAAAGGAAGGGTATGAGAAAGAGAGAGAGAGGGGGGAGGTAGAAGTAGGAGAGAGGGGAAAGAAAACAGTATTCAAATAGCTAAGCCATATACTTCAGTGCCTTAGGAAGGGATGGATAAACAAGTAGTGTTTTTAAAGTAACACAAAAATGAGACGATTTTCATTATTACAATTTAGTATATTTACCTGATAATATGAAAACCATAAGCACAATCCCACAGCGCTGCTTCTAACGGAGGGAGGGAGGGAGATCAGAGAGGGGGAGAGAGGGAGGGAAGGAGATCAGAGAGGGAGAGAGAGGGAGGGGAAAAAGGATAGTAAATATAGAACATTCTTGAGCCAAATTTGCAAGAAGCTTGCTCATGCACATATTTCACGATAATTATTATTTGGTTGCGGAGAGAAGGAGAGTAGTGGGAGTATTAATAAAAAAGTGAGAAAGAATGAGAGTGTTAAGGGACACCATCTGGAGGAGTGATGAGAGAGAGAGAATGGCATTTATATGTACAAGACAATTATTCAATTAGAGAGAGAGGTTTATGAAATAATAACACACAAACAAAATAATTTAGACAAATAATAATAATAATAATAACTTAATAGCAAATATCGAGCTCACTTGAGGTGCTGGGAGCTGAATGGAGGAGAGATGAAAGCCCATCATCTCCAACCACGTCTTCTTCGCTGTGCTACTTCTCTCTCGCTCGCGTCTTTTGTTTGTAGATGATTCTATAGAGCCCACAACCAGCCCTTAGCGTAGCTGGCAGAGTGAAGCACGATAAACCCAGCCACTACAAGTCTACAAATCTTGAGTGCAGCAAAAGCTGGCTTCAGTCTATACTCTACAGCTTATAAAGACTCCAGACTCGTTAAACCTCTTTACTGAAGCGTGGGGGCAGCTGTTGTGTATAGTAATGTACACATAAAAGCTTATTATATGGTCTAATGCCTGTAGTCGCTCTAATAACATTCCACAATAAAAAATTCCCTCCCTTGCTCACCACGTGGGAACCATCCACACCCTTTTCAGGCAAACTTTAGTGCGCATGCTCACTAAAGGAGGACCCTCTTTGCGACGTGTGGAGAGATAGGAGAAAGGGATAGCCACAATGAGGTATGTACATGTACATGTATCTCAACCAATCATTCCTTGTGCTGTGATTTTATGGTCTAGAATAATTTCGGTAGCTTTTATTAATTGTATATTTGCCTTAATTGCTGTAATATTCCAATACTAAAACCAATTAAAAATTGAATTTACCATAAATGTAAAATTACATCAACTTATTGCATATCAAACAAATTCCAATGTCATTTGTAAAAAATGATTTTCTTTCTGTCACTACAGTAAGGTATCACGTGAGACACTGTACGAGTGCATCAGGTCGCTCCTTGAGAGCTCCGAAAAGAAAAAGAGAAAGTTTCTTGAGACAGTCGAGCTCCAGATTGTGTTGAAGAATTACGATCCTCAGAAAGACAAACGTTTTAGTGGTACCATCAAGTGAGTTGTGACCAACCGGTAAATCACATGGCTATCATGTGACCCGGCTGGGAGGTCATGTGACCGGACCCGCCCACCCAGGGTCTTAAATAAATGGGTCTAAGATGGTACTGTACTCTGTGTGTGTGATGATATGATTGTTGTTGGTATGTGCATTATTGTTCGTTATCCTTACTTAAACTTGTTATTCACATGATAGACACGGCCTAATGTGTAATCATCTAATCATTATTGTGCTTTATAAATAATAATAATAGTAATAATGATGACGATAGTGTTTATTATCCATTGTTTGCAGGTTGCGTAATATACCACGTCCTAAAATGAAGGTCTGTGTATTGGGTGATGCATCACATTGTGACGAGGCCAATGCAGCTGGCATACCGTGTATGGACGTCGAAGCATTGAAGAAACTGAACAAAGACAAGAAGCTGGTTAAGAAACTAGGTAAAGAAGAGAATATAATGTTATAATAAAGTGGTTGTCAATATATATTTTTAAATTTTACATTGCAAGTGCTTAGTAATGTTATTTCCTTGTGTATAGCTAAGAAGTATGATGCATTTTTGGCTTCTGACAGTCTAATTAAGCAGATCCCACGTCTCCTTGGGCCTGGTCTGAGCAAAGCTGGAAAGTTTCCTACGCTTGTCACCCACAGTGAGAGTCTGACGCAGAAAGTAGATGAAGTCAAAGCTACCATTCGTTTCCAAATGAAAAAGGTAATGGATGATGACACAGTAATGATAGCTGGTAATTGATGATTTAAATGTTGCAGGTGCTCTGTTTGGCTGTTGCTATTGGCAATGTCAGCATGACTGAGGATGAGTTGGCTTCTAATGTGACCCTTGGAATCAACTTCCTTGTGTCCCTCCTAAAGAAGAACTGGCAAAATGTCCGAGCTCTCTACATCAAGTCAACAATGGGTCCAGCACAGCAACTGTATTAAGCTGGAGTATTATTACGCGAGGAGAAATATTTGAACAGATTTGAAATATTTTGATTATATGTACTGTAATGAAAAATAATGTTCTTTTTCTCAGAAAGATAAATACATTATTATATTATTACAAGATGAGTTGCCACATTAATTAACAAAAAAATAAACAAAATGGCGACAACGGAAAATTAATCTGGGAGAGAGTGCAGTACACAATAATAATAATAATAAACAAATGAAATATGAGTTTACACATAGGAGTGGACACATCACATGACAGACACAACTTGACACGTACATGTAACCTCTGTGTGGGAGGAGACAAACAAACATTCAAACAAAATGGTGGACATTGTCTATATATACATGTACACATGTATTTATATAATATTCATATATAATGTGTATACACAACATTAATAGTGCCAGAAAATTTAAAAATAAAATATACAGTGATGAAAGAGAAAATAATTACACATTTCCATTATGATCTCACCAGTATGGTTTATTAGCCTCTTTGGGCCTCTTTAGTTGGACCTTCAGTCTCTTTGTGCCTATTTGAAAACCATTCATGGCCTGTATTGCTGCCTGGCCGGCTTGAGACGTCTCAAAACTAACAAACCCAAAGCACTTGCTTAAATTAGTGTGCTTGTCAAGGAAGACCTTGGCACTGATGACTTTACCAAATTGGGAGAACATGTTGGCCAGATCGCTATCCTTAATGTCATTTGGTAAATGATAGATGAATAGGTTACCCCCTTCTGGGCCTATGGGATTAAAATAGAATGGATCACATAAAATTGTGAGAGACCAATGTTATAAAATACATGTGGGAGACCAAGTCTCCTAAACTCTCTCTCTAAATTTAACAGTAATAATGGTGGAATTATGAAACTATTCCTTGTGTTACTCCCCCTTCTCTCTCTGCTTTATCTCTCTTTATTTTCCTCCCTCTCTCTACATCAGGGTTGGCTTTCAAGGTGTCATATCTGCCCAGTGCCATTGACACTAATTATTAAAATAATTGCTAATCGCACGACAATAAATATACAGCACACAAGGAATGCAATTACACTTCGATAGCAATGCAAATTACACATTTACATGTACAGACGTGTACATGTATAAGCAACAAACCCTCTCCCCCATCTACAGACAGGGCATGTACACAATAAATATCAACATCAAAAAAATCAACAACATATGCTTGTATCATATACAGTATGTACAAGTATGTATTGTAGTCTAGCTCACCTTCTCTCTGCTTCTGGTGTATATACCTGCCATAGTGAGGCCCCTGCGACATAGCAGCTGTGGAAAACAAAAATCCAATTATAAGATACATTAGAAGGCTAGTAATTACAGCTAATTACATGTACACACACTAATTGTGTATGCTACAGTAAGTGACTGAAGCCAGTTTAACTAGTGATAATTGAATTGGGCACTATACCTTGGTATTGCTGCATCCCTGGTAGCTGATAGGAGTGCATTAGCTGTTGCTCGGATGCAATCTTATTTGAGGGATTATTAGCAGAGGCACTTAACACAGCTGAGCCTAGATTACCTAAACCTTTAGATGAAATGATACACAAATGTACCATTGAAAGAGAAAAGGGGATAATACATAAAAGTACGTGTAGGAAGAGGAAGATAAGAGAGAGGAAGGGAAAGGGGGTAGCACCTTGTGGTGATGAGTTATAGGTAATTGGAGAAGGGCCCGGTTGGTTGGCCATGAGATGACTACCAAGTGGCATGTCTGTGATGCAATAAGGAAAGGTCAAGGAAACATAGGAAGGAATTGAGACACTTACTAGCTGGCATGGCACCTGTACCCAGTCCAAATGAATTACCAACAGAAGTAGCGGCAGCTGCTGCAGCCTGTTGTAACTGTGCCAACTGGTACGAAGGGAGGGTAAGAGCTGATGGCATCATGGACTAAAACAAATAATCCAATAATTATAAAGTCTTCATTGTCTTCTTTGAATAAACAAGGGCAGCTTTGTCTCATTTCCTCTTCCTTTCTCCCTCCTCTCTTTCTCCCCCCCCCCTCATATCATTATTATACTTACTTGTCTCATGTATGAATAGGTATCAATACCAATGTTAGGAGCTAGACCCGAGAATCGAACATTGGGAGCCATGGCACTCGGGGGTTGGTTCACTTGAACCTGGTGATGGAAGCGCTTCATTTCTTTCTCTCTCTCAGTGTCAGCAATCTTTACATTTACTGGATGCGACACACCCTATGTAGTGAAGGAGGGGGAGGGAGAGAGAGAGAGAAAGGTGAAGCAGACAGAAATAATTCTCATCACCAATTTGGCAAAACAACATTTAATATTGGCAACGACAACTCATAAAATAACATTTTGTCTATAATCATAAACGACCACCAAAACTGACACTAAACATTAAAAAAACAATCACAAACACACAGACCAAGTAAGTAATGCAATACAGTAACAAGAGCCCAAGTATCACATATACACCAGTACTAGCAATACATGCAGCGGTTATTGTTTATTTTTATCAGTTGATTAGTAGTAGATGTCATTCTTTTCATCGTTAGTACTGGTTTGTAACTACTAGTGTTATTTCATCATGGTTGCAATAAACTCACAGGTAGTGTACAACTTTGATGAAGGCCCTGTATGGCTGTCATTGCCTCATTTCTTGACCCCATGCGCACAAAAGCAGCTTTCTTGCTCACACCATCTTTATCCCTGAGTATGGAGACATCCTCGACAAGGCCAAAAGGCGAAAAGAGATTGGCAACTTGTTCGTCGCTCATTTCTATTAATAGTAACAGAAATAAACAAGAATAGTTCATAAATAGTAGGGTCAAAGCCAACCTGGCGAGAGTTGTCCGACGAATAGTCTACGATCTTCTCCTTTGTCTCTGTTTGATTGAGTTGCAGGTTTTACTTGCATTGGATGGTTCATCTGGTTTAAGAATAATAATAAAGAGTTCATAATTATAATGATAGAGATTAACAAGTTTCAGAATGCTTCTCGCCTCATTCTCCCTCTCTCCCTCTCTCTCTTACAGCTGGTAGCGTTCTCTTCTCGTGCAAATTCTGCTGAGCGTTTACAGCGGACTCCTTAAGACAGTAAGTTACAAATGCACAGCCTAAAAGGGAAGGACAATAATAACACAACACATGTATGTATGTACATTTTATGTATCTATGTATACATGCAAAGGATGTATGTTATCAAGGCTAACTCAACAGTCAATTTAAAAATAAGCAAATGTGTATGATAAACAATGAAGAGGCTAATATACACATCGATTGCCCTTCATTCAAAGTTGGCAAACCTTTTGATCTCTTTTCTTTGTCTTTTATGATATTAATCTCGTGGATGGGCCCAAACTCTTCCAGCAAAGCTTTGATCTGCTCCTCGTCGTACTCTTTTGGTATCTGTCCCACAAAAAGCTTTATCTTGTCCGGATCTGTATCGTAGGCTGATTGTGGGTTTTCAATCTCCATCAGAAAGCGAAGTGGGCGTTTGGACGAGACGGAAGCACGGGACACACAATTAGGGATAAATACGAGGATAAACAGGAGCTGTACAGTGAATAAAAAGGAGTACAAACAGGCACAGACAGGAGATAAAGGAGGAGAGACAGAGAGGACACACAGACACACACACAAACAAAACAACAATGCCGACAGCGTGTGGACACACACGATCAATAATCAATTCATAGTACCACGCCCACCAATTAAGTGCACCGTATTTAATGTAATTTGATGTATTTGGCGCCAAAACATTTTTTTGTAAAAACAATTATAATCACCATTCATTTTCCTTTATTGTTCTTCACTTCAAGCTTTGCTTTCTTTCTTTTTTGCTTTCTTCTTTTTTTTCTTGGCCGGTTTTTTGGGCTCTTCCTTTTTTTCGCTTTTGATTTCGTGTGGTACGTGCAAGTCATTTTCGTCTTCACATTTTGATTTCTTCCTTTTTTTCTTCTTTTGTTTAACAGTCTGGTCATTTGACTCATTTCCAGCCCCCAAGTTTTTTTCGTCATTTTCAATGATTTCAAGCACTATGTAGTCATCTTCATCTTCACATTCAGATTTCTTCCTTTTTTTTCCTTTCCTTTTAACAGTCTGGCCACTTTCAATTCCCAACTGAGGCGTAGAATCTTGTCCAGTTTTTACTTCTACTTTAATTGTCGTCTTCTCTTCTGACATTTTACCTTCTGCAACATCAGGAGCTGATTCTGTTGGAGTATTGATAGCTTGTTGTGTCTTTGGAGGATCATGAAATATGTCCCATAAACTATCCAGTGTACTTTGATCGTGAACATTGATGCTATTTTTAACAAAATTCTAAAGAAATAAATAAAAATCGTGATCATGAATTTCACACAATATGTGTGGCAAAATAAATATGATGTATATACCTGGAATTTAGCTTTTTTTCTTGGTATGTTTGGATATTGCAATATTTTCTTTAATAACAATGAGATACGTGGAGAATAAGTGCCAGCTTGTAGACATGCAGAAACTGACTACACAACAACAAAACATAATGAAGACAACACTAAAGAAAAGGTGTGGCTAAATCATAAACACTTTTTCTAACCAAACTACAAGAGTGTGCACACCTCTCTTTGTTATGTGACCCAAATAATTAAGAAAAATTTTTTAAGTGGGGCTCTGACCTCCAGCCATTCTTGCTGTTTCTTTTCTCCTTTTGAGATGCCTCCTTTCTCTCCTTTAAAAAGGTCCCCTTGGTACTTTTCAGCTTCAGTTACACATGAAGTGTGAGTCTTATAATCATCTCCAACGAAGTCTTTTCCACAATCTAAGCAAGAGAGTATCCAACAGCGTGCACATTCAGTCTGCCAGTGCTTCTCTACTGCGTTCTTCTTGACTGACTGGCCACAAGCATTGCAACAGAAAAACACCATGTTTTAATGATACCACGTGGGTGGGTGGAGATTTAGTTATAAAAATTGTCATTTAAAGTTTAAAATGGTTAATATATAGTATCAAGATTACATGAACTATACAATAAAGGAACTATGCTATGAACTGTTACACAGGACTTTCTCCAGCTTCTCCTCTTTCGTCCTCCTCTTCCTCTGGTATGGTGTCAATTCTGAGCTCTGCCTGCAACTTTTCTGCAGCTTCTTCTACCAATTTCCTGGTACGACTCTCAGCAGATGAGCTACTCCTTTCTTCATTCTTTAAAAAACATAATGCATCTGCACCTAAAATATATTTTCTTACTTGTGGCACATCTTTGCTGCTTTTTCGTCTTCTCAAAGGTGGCGGTTTATTTGCTTGTCCTGCAGAGGGTGTCCTTATTTGACCAGTTGTTGGATTATAAAGAAAATCTCCTTTTTTCGAACTGACTTCAACCCATTCCTATAAATAATAAAATTGTGCATTAATCTCTCTTCTAACAGTTTTGAGCTCACTTGATTGGGGTAGCTTAGGGCATATATCATTTGCAGTATAAAATTGGCAAGGGGAACAAACTGCTCCAAGCTCAGTGGTCCTTCGGTAGCAAGATCATAATAATAATAGTATATCTCCTCAATTTGTTCAGTATATATGCGCTCATTTATGTAGGGAGAATTAATAAACTATAAGTAAAGCATTAAAAGCTATATATACAGAAACGTATCACTGACCATTTGAAAATCTGTTTCATCAATGTATCCATCACGATTACCATCAGCAGTTAAGAATAATCCACTAATGGTGTCCTCAAATGGATTATCTCTTAAGAATGGTCGATACTCCAATGGTCTCTCAGTTTGAAGATCTCCTGTCATTTTATTCAAGTATAAGTATCCACCTGCATTGAGTGAAAATTGCAGCCACTGTTCTTCCACCATTATGCCATATTCATTCTGAATTGTTATTAATAAATGAAACTTAAAGGAATGATGTACTTACCAACTGTAACTGTATTCTTTCGTTTAATAAAGTTACAACTTGTGCAGGTAATACTTGAGCTGCCTTGTCAATATTAATCATGCCAATTCCAGCATTAGCTGTTGATGCCAACCCATACACATTGCCTATAGGAAATGAATAATAACACTAGTATAGTGTTACTAATGCTTACCAGCTAATACCATGAGTTCTTCATGATCAAATGGTAAGTCAAGATCATTTGACGACAGGATTTGATGCATGTCATCAAATGATATGTAACCATGTCCATAATTTCCCCTAATGGCTATATGATAAGCTATTATATACACATTTATCTTACATTACTAATAATTCTTTAAAGAATAGTACTAGTGCTGAATGGAGAGGATGGGACTGTAGATTTTGCTCTGATGAAATTTGTTTTGGTTCTTTTTTTGCTTTCGTGACGACAGCCGGTTTTGGGCTTGGCTTCACCTCGGCTGTATGAATCAAATCAAGTAACTATCATGTGACATGCAACTCATTACCTTGTGCAGGTGAAGCTGTGATTGCAATTGGAGCTGGTAATGGCATATCTTTGTCTTCACTATCTGATGGTTTATCCTCTGGCTGCTCTACTGCTGCATTTGACACTGCTTCTTCTTTAGTTTCATCATCATCACTCTTTCCCTCTTCTTTTTCTTCCTCTTCAATCCTTTGGTCTATAATTTCTTGTTCATTTGGTGCACTGATCTTTTCTTCCTTTTCTTCAATCCTTTGAAGTGGTGTAACTGGTTGAGATGGTGGTAATGAAGGGGTTTCAACAGGCGAGATTATTGATATCTATTAATAATAATAATAATAAGCTAGTTAACAATATTCACAAATGTATGATACTTTTTTCTGCTTCTTACGACTCTGTTCTGCCCACTTTGTTCTTGATAAAAGAACCATTCTGTAAAAATAATTATAAAATAAAAAATTTGAAATAATAATTGTTACTTTTCATACCTATTATGAATGATATCTGAAGCTCTATGCCAGCTTGCAGTCTAAGTGTATTTCCTTAACATTTTACACAAAAAGCATATCACATACTTTTCCATATTTCTTTTCATAAACAAGTTTTTCTTTCTCCTGTTGTTGCAGATGTGCTGCATTGATCCGCTCCTGTTCCTCTAATTGTATCTGTTCCAAGAGTTTTCTAAGTTTCTCTTTCCTTTCTTTCTTCTTCTCAGCTTCCCTTTTCCTTGCAACCTAAAATTCATATGCATACAAATTAACTTTATTAACTCATTCTTTCATACTTCTTCCTCTTGTAACTTTCTTTCAATTTTCTTGCTTTGTATCTTATCCCAAGCAGCTCTTTTCTCTTCTGCTTTCTCTATATTCCTTTGATAACGCTGTGGCAACTTGACAGGCTGACAGCTCTAAAATTCAACAATATAAACATGATTATGTCACTTACAGTACCTTGAGTTTTTCTATCCTTAATCTTTCTTTTTCGTCTAATTTCTATTATAAGGAGATACATTATTTGCAATAATTAAAGAGTTAATTTTTTACTTGTATCAATTGTTCTTTTCTTTCCAGGAGTTCGTGTGCTTTTATTTTCTGTCTCTGCTCTTTGGTGGTTGATATAACCCTCAGATCATCAGTCAATAGTCCAAGCTGTATCAGATGTTCTCTCAATGATTGATTATTAAGGAACAGCTTCTTGCAGTGAGGATCATGCAAGCTACAAGAAAAAAGTATAGCAACAATTGTATTACTATATAGAAGTATAAACTTATGCACAGAATATATTATTGACTCTTGGTACATATACATACACAAATATTATTAACTAACCTGTTGTATTGTAATGAGTTGAGTGGATTAATAACTTTTGGTGTGTTCCTTCCAATAAACAAGCGTCCTTGTCTGTCAAAGACATCGTCAAACATGGCAGCATCTTCGTATATTTGTCTTGGGACGTCCTGTCTTGGTGTACCACTAAAAAGAATGGAGGAGACCATAGCCACTTAAATGGGTTGTTCCTCTTACACATAAGCAGTGTAGTTTGGCTCAACTATTGGTCCGTGTCTACTGGTAGTGGTGCGTGGCTGTATAGCTTCACTGCTCATGGCTCTTGCATGTGATGTACTGGAAAGAAAAGGAGAGAATGACTATGAAGGGAAGAGAGATTAAAAAGCTCACGGTAGCCTTGGAAGATGTACACCTTCTGTCCTGCTCATTGTTTTCTTTTTTTGCTGCAGTAGTGAGCCCCGCCCTTGCTTAGCAAACGCCCACGCAATCAACCACGCCCACCACAGGAGAAAATATTACTTCTTATTGTACGTACAATCGTATGATGCAAATGGAGGAGAGCAACGAAGCAGCTAGCAGCAGCAAACAGGCTCAAACTACGCAGCACACTCGCTCCCTCTCCGGCCACAAGATACAGGCTGAGTTAGCAGCAGATAAAGAAGAACCCACGGTAGGATCTTTGTCAGGCTAGGCGCCATTTTTAACACTTTGCCACTCACCCTTCCTCGCCTTTTCTTTGTCCTTTTTCTTTTACATCGCCTCAAAATGATATGATACAGACAAGCACGTGCTGCAACATGCATGTGAATTAATAATCCGTCTTTTATCAGTTTCTTTTATTTAATTGCTGGTAATTCATTTACACTAATTAATGAGGCATAATTATCAAGAGCATTATAATAACAATTATGATTAGGTTGCTTCTCCTGGTGAGTTGGTACACAAGTTTGGAGGGAAGAGATCGATAGAGAAGATACTGATTGCTAACAATGGGATAGGAGCTGTCAAATTCATGAGATCAGTTAGGCGCTGGTCATACGAAGTGTTTGGAAATGAAAGAGCAATCAAGTTTCATGTAATGGTAACACCAGAAGACATGAAGGTACAGTGTATCTCTATCTTTTATATGCTACTCATTTTATGACTGTTATGGCCATAAAATTTCGTGGGGTATTTATATTTTCACGGATTTCATGGGTGACTTCTTAACCACGAAAATTAATACCATGGAAATGCTCACTGTGCATGTGCAGCACATGAAATTCAATGACTTAATGAAAGTGCACGTGCAAAAACGCGAAATTTAACCCCCTTGAAATTAAAGAATGAAGAGCTTTTCATTAAAACACGAAATTTTCTACCCTCGAAATTTTTTACCCGTACGGTATTATGGCCTCCATACACGAGGGAACTTATTGCTAGCAACAACATGTTTCCAAGAATTGAGAGATGCTCTGTTTTTGGCAACATGTTACTTGGTTACTAGCAACAAGTTGTCTCGTGTATGAAAGCCTTTAGGCCTTTTCACACTGGCACAGTTTTCAAAGCGCTTTCATGCGCTTTGCTGATACAGCTGAAATAATGCGCATTGATCTTGTTCACGAAGCGCATCACTTCACATCAATCCACCTCTGGAGCTGAAGTGAGAGTGATCAATTTGAAACCACTCTAGTGTGAACACGATTAATGCGCATCAATGCGCATTACTTTGGCCAGTGTGAAAAGGCCTTTTATCTACACTGTACAATTGTCTTCTCCCCCTCTCTCCCTCCCTCCCTCTCCAATTCTCTTTCTTAGGCTAATGCGGAGTTCATTCATCTTGCTGATAATTATCTCCCTGTTCCTGGAGGAACTAATAATTACAATTATGCAAATGTTGACCTCATCCTTGATCTTGCCAAAAGAATAAGAGCTGAAGTATAAACGCACACACATGTACGCCTATCGTAATGACCACACCCACTTTTATAGGCCGTGTGGGCGGGCTGGGGTCACGCCTCTGAGAATCCAAAACTCCCAGAACTGCTTCACAAGAACGGAATAGCTTTCCTTGGTCCTCCGGCTCAGGCAATGTGGAGTCTGGGTGACAAGATAGCAAGCTCTATCGTTGCTCAGACAGCTAATGTACCAACACTCCCCTGGTCAGGATCTGGTAAGGAAAAAGAATATGCAAAATAAAAAAATACTTATCGTGATTGATATTAGGATTAAAGATAGAGGGAGGAGGAGGGAGTAAGAAAGGAAGCGGGTTGGTACACGTTCCTAACGATATATACTTGAAAGGATGCGTCAATAGTATACAAGATGGACTAAAAGTAAAATTAATGTATTATTATTATTATTATTATTATTATTATTATTATTATTATTATTATTATTAATAGGCAGCTGAGTCCATTGGTTACCCTGTGATGATCAAAGCCTCAGCCGGAGGTGGAGGGAAAGGGATCAGAAAGGCTCGTAATTCCGACGAGTTCCCCTCTCTCTTCCACCAAGTGCAAGCTGAAGTACCCGGGTCACCTGTATTTGTAATGCAACTCGCCAAAAAGTAAAAAAAGACTATATTCTTTCTGCCTTCCTCATTCCTTTTTCTATTTCTACTAATTAGTGCCCGCCACTTGGAAGTTCAGATATTAGCTGACGAATATGGTAATGCTATATCCTTATTTGGAAGAGACTGCTCCGTCCAGAGAAGACATCAAAAGATAATTGAAGAGGCTCCGGCAACTATTGCCGATCCTGAAGTCTTTGTTGAAATGGAAAAAGTAAATATTATTATTATTATTATTATTATTATTATTATTATTATTATTATTATTATTGATTTTGTTATTATGTACATGTACATGTACATGTATGTCTACATTACATGTATTCAGTTTTTATCATTTTGGTTTTTGTTATGTTATAATTACGTACATATACACATACATACTTAATGTTATTGTTGCTGTTGTTGTTGTTGTTTATTATTGTTGTTTATTGTTGTTGTTGTTGTTGTTGTTGTTTAGGCTGCTGTTAGGCTAGCTAAGATGGTAGGGTATGTGAGTGCTGGTACTGTGGAGTACTTGTACTTGGATGATGAGAAAAGGTTTTATTTTCTTGAGCTAAACCCACGTCTCCAAGTGGAACATCCCTGCACTGAGATGGTAGCCGATGTTAATCTACCTGCTCTACAGCTACAGGTAAATAATACCCATGGTTTTTTCTGAAAAATGGCTCCGAAATCAACTCCAATTTTTATTACATTTTCTGATACATATTGATGCCCTTATGCTCAGTAGAAAGTTTGAGCTGATTCTGACTTCAATTTTTCAAGTTATGGCCATTTTAAGAAAACGCCAAAATTCTGAAAAATACCCAAGGCTATAGCCCATGGTTTTTTCCAAAAAATGGCTCCGAAATCAACCCCAGTTTTTATTACATTTTCTGATACATATTGATGCCCTTATGCTATGTAGAAAGTTTGAGCTGATTCTGACTTGAATTTTTCAAGTTATGGCCATTTTAAGAAAATGCCAAAATTCTGAAAAATACCCAAGGCTTTAGCCCATGGTTTTTCCCAAAAAATGGCTCCAAAATTACCCCCAATTTTTATTACATTTTCTGATACATATTGATGTCCTTATGCTGTATAAAAAGTTTGAGCTGATTCCGACTTCAATATTTTGAGTTATGAGGATTTAAAAAAATATTCATCTTTATAATGCTTTGATTCCCTTAGGTTGCTATGGGTTTACCATTGCACAGGATAAAGGACATTCGAGTTTTTTTCAAAGTCAATCCTTACGGAGATTCTCTCATAAACTTTGACAAGTAAGTACTTGTACATGTAGTACATGTATTTCTCTTTGTTTCTTGACATTTAAATGTACTATACCTATTCTTATACTCTAGTCCACTCACCAGTCCAACTCCACATGGTCACGTGATTGCGTGTCGTATCACAGCCGAGAACCCTGACGATGGGTTCCAACCCAGTTCGGGAACCGTCCAAGAACTCAATTTCCGAAGCTCAAAGAACGTCTGGGGCTACTTCAGTGTTGCTGCTTCTGGTGGACTTCACGAGTTTGCCGATTCTCAATTCGGACATTGTTTTGCATGGGGAGAGACAAGGGACCAGGCAAGAAGGTAAGAAAGACACAAAGTCCCTGTACAATGTACATGTACATGTATAAATTCAATCGTAACTTAGATTCACAATATAGTCATCAGATAGTTAAATATTAAAAGATTATCATTGAAATGACAGGCAGTATAGCTGCATGCTCTACCCTGATTCATAAAGTGACCTCACAATTGCCTATTAATGTACATGAAAGATTTGACCTCTCGCAATTATTGTTTGTTATATAAACTATAATCATTATTGTAACACCTACACTGTGTATAGTGTAGATTATAACTGACCTCTCTCTTCTTAAGGAATATGGTCCTTGCCCTCAAAGAGCTCTCAATCAGAGGTGACTTTAGGACGACAATTGAGTATCTAGTGACACTACTGGAGACACACACCTTCCACACTAACAGCATTGACACTGCATGGCTGGACCAACTCATTGCCAGCAATATTAAAGTACTATATGCTGATCATTTAATTCAACTAATATTGATTATTGATTAGCTTTTTATTAATAGTTATTGATAGTTATTAATAGTTATTACTAGTCATTACTGGTTATTATGGTTATTAATAGGCAAGAAGGCCCGAGGTGATGTTAGGTGTGGTCTGTGGCTCATTGTGTATAGCAGAAGAAGCTTTTAGGAAGAGATTTGCTGACTATCAGGCCCTACTGGAGAGGTGTGTGTGCATGTACACATACAAAAGAGATGTTATATTTACATCTTAACTGCTCCTCTCTCTCTCTCTCTCTCTCTCTTTCTCTCTCTGTCAGGGGTCAGGTGATGAATGCCGAAATGATCTCAAATGTTGTTGATATTGAATTGATTAGTGATAGCATTAAATACTCATTGAAGGTATTTTAATCAATTAATTAGTGTATTGTTATATCATTTTACTCATTCATCGTGTTAAATTTGCTTTCTATGCATGCATTTGCAAGTTGCAAAGAAATTTTTTTGCTAAGTAATAAGTTTTGTTATTGTTATTATTATTATTATTATTGTACTAGGTATCACGGATCAGGCCTACAGTGTACATGTTGCTGATGAATGATAGTTATCTCTCAGTGGATGTACACAGAATGACCGATGGGACACTGTTAGTGTCCATCAATGGCTCCTCTTACACGACTTACTTCAAAGAAGAGGTGGACCACTACAGGGTTGTTGTATCAGGGCAGACTGGTGTCTTTGAGAAAGAGAATGATCCTCAAGTATTGAGGTGAGTAGAAAGGAGAGACAGAGAGACAGAGAGAGGGAGGGAGGGAGGGAGGGAGGGAGAGAGAGAGACAGAGAGAGAGGAAAGGAGAGAATACGTTAGAAGATAGAAAGAACAATTGGATCATTTGTTGTTGTACTGTACATTCTAGAGCTACTTCTCCTGGTAAATTGATACGATTCTTGCAAGAAGACGGCGATCATGTTGATGCTGGTAATCCATACGCCGAGATCGAAGTGATGAAAATGATCACCAATTTATACACGACTCAAAGCGGAATGTGAGAAAGAAAACATTTCACATTTACAATTTTTGTTATTTTCATAGCATACACCACAAAAAGCAGCCCGGTGCTATTCTTCATCCAGGCACTCTGGTTGCTAAATTGGATCTTGATGATGCATCTTCTGTGACCAGAGCTGTCCCATTCTCTGGCTCACTGCCCCAAGGAAAGAAAGAGACGGTCGGTCTGAAGAGTAACCAGTTGTTCCGAACAGCTGTACAATCACTGCAGGCTGTAATGGCCGGATACTCTATACCTGATGAAGATATGCTCTTCAAGCTGATAACAGAGAATGTGGAGCTGTTTCTTAAAACGCTTAAGGATCCAACGCTACCGATGCTTGAAACAAAGGTATGACATCTTTTTAAATTTTTTAATGGCAAATGTAGGAGCTGCTCTCGACTATATCTGGGCGTATCCCTGTTGCTGTGGAAACTGCTATTAACAAGTGTCTTGCACAATATGCAAAGAATGTGACCTCGATACTGAGCCAGTTCCCAAGCCAACAAGTAATCGACATACAACCACCTTCTAGTGTTCTCTCTCTCTCTCTCTTAGCTTAATAATATCATCAATAGATATGCTGCCTCTATACAGCGTCAGTCAGATCAAGACCAGTTCTTCATGAACACTAATGGAATAGTTCAATTATTACAAAGGTACGTGTTCATATATAATCACAATTATCATAATTATTTTATTGCTTTTCTCTCGCTCAGATACGTTAACGGATCCCGTGGGCGTATGAGGACTGAGATTATCCAGTTTTTAAAGGAATACTATAGAGTAGAAGAAGCTTTTCAAGGTAATAATCATACGCTAGTCAAACTTTGTAATACTTTACTATTTAATGTAATCATTATTTGTGT